TCCCACCCATCCCACCCCAGGGGAGGACATCCATCACACAGTAATCTCGTGTGTGGGAAATTAACGTCTCCTACCCCAACCCTGCAGGAGACGGGACCTCCATTTATTCGTCCCTATCCGAGAAGACTAGAATATCTAACCATTTCTTGATGTTATAGAAAGGCAGCAAATTCTTCTCAATTATTTTAAGACCCTGAGTGTTGGTCTGGCCGGGGCTCGAACCCTCGACCTCCCGCACAACAGTCCAGCGCTCTATCCATTGAGCTAACCGGGAGGTGGTTAAATAGTACAATAGGTACTATTAATTTTATTAATTTTGCTTGATTGGTAAAGTACCACACTGTTTTCGTATGAGAATTTAATTTTGTACCATAGGTACAAAAGAAAAGTCATTTAAAATAAATTTCAACAGTGTAACACATCAAAGTATTTATAGGCTAATTTATGATGAGAAAAAAAGTACAGTGACTGGTTTACATCAGACTTAATAGGCGGTGCAAGGTGTGCAAGGGTAAATCTCATCAACTATGTACACCTTTGAACTGTTTTTTTGACCTCTGTCTCATGAGCACTATCAGATAGTAGACCTCTAAAGTCTCACACTAGGCACAAGACAAACACATTTAATCTTATGCTCATATGCTGAAGCTATTGTTTTACAGATTTAAGGTTTCTGATTACAACTATTGATTTAAACTGCTGCTTTAGTTAAGCACCACCCATGGAATTGGTTGAATATCCTCCTAGATACAATTTACAAAATTTTCCCCTTTGTGACAAACCTGATCAGCATTCTCTTGCTAATCATGGCATCTTACATACAAATAGTGTATTGGGATAATATATGATAGTGATCTTAATGCTAGGTGGGAAAAGATAGCAACCTTCTTCACCACCCCATGCATGATGAAGATCAAATTGACTGAAAAGATAGTACCCTTCGATGTCCCTTCATCAAAAAATTAAAACAAACTCTTTAACCAGCCTGCTCAGCTTAAAAAAGATCATTTCTTTTCCAAATTAAGCATGTAGCAGTCCTTAAGAATATACCTGATGACAGCTAGGCTGTCTACTCCCTCAAGACAAATAATACAATTCAAAACCTCACTCCCTTGAAATACATACGCTTGAGACCTGGGAAAGGCAAGCTTTTTTCCCCATGCCTTCCTGTACAGATGATTACAGGAAAATTAATGTTGGGAAAAGGTTGAATGGTTTAGGTCGCTGCAAGGATCAAAATTCGATAAAACTCAACAAATACTTTAATCCACATCTGTCCAGCCAAAAACTACGTACTTACGAGCACATGTCTTGCCGTACAATGATTCCAGAGAACAGGACAGGCACGTAGTGCGTGCTTACAGATATCATGACATTCCTAACAATTGTCTTAATATGATTCATGCATACCTTTGATCTTTCAAATATGCAAAATGGAAAAGCAGTTTTCTCTTCACATCCTCGTCATCTCCTTAGCGAATAACACTTTGTTGCAAAATTGTCTTCTCTCTTCCTTCTTTAGAGCTGCTAGTTCTATTGTATTTGGCATAAAAACCCTCCTTTCTCTTTCTATGACATCAGAGAATAGCAGCACAACAACACCTTTCCCCTGCATACTTCCAGCGTTTGATACTTTATGCAAAGCTTTCGACCAACTCATTCTGGTTGAAAGATGGATATCACAAAAAAGATGACAATTAAAAGCAGTGTTAGTTTAATGTTAATTTTAACTGTTTAGCTATTTGCTCCACTGCTGATGCAAATAAGCTACTTCATCTGGGGAGACCTTACACTTATCCCTTTGATTCCTGAGAGTGATTAGCTGATAAATTCTCCCCACAACATCACCCCTGAATCAAACATTAAGATAAGGAGAATAAAAGAAATGATC